TGTCAGCGTGCAGCAGCACATGCTCACTGACCCGCCTCCCCTCCAGACCTTCACCTGACACTGAAGCAATAGCTAAATGTTTGCTCACATTGCTGAGAATAACCTTGGATTCATATGCTGTTAGAGCCACAGTTGCCCAAATGATAAGCCAGGTTGTGTAAATAATACAGTGGAGATGCTGATTAAACATATTCCAGCTGCATGCAGCATGGGGTACCCTTTGACAGAAATCAGTCCAGATTTCTTGCATTGTAACAACAACTTGTTCCCCTCGCAGCCTCACAATGTGATCAAAGTATTTGTGGAATGTAAATGCATTTGCTTTAATGTCATCAGAAGTTAAAGAAAAAGGCACGCTTTAAAAGTTTTTCATTTCTTTGAAAGCATTTCTGTAAAACAGCAGCATTTAGGTGGATGAAGATTTACAATGAAAAAAATAGTTACGTAAAAATGAAAGTATAGAATATATATATATAATTTTTTTTACATTTGGACACTGATTATAACACAAAACAGACTATAAAACATACAATGAATTAGGAAAGAAATGTAGTGCATCTTTGAACTTCATCCCGGCAGCACGTGAAAAGTAAAAGTCGTAAGGTACAAATGACAAAAGTGAAAATTAATTAATGCAAGACTTTATGGGCTTATATAAGTTTGAAAATGGAACCTGATATCATTACTGCACTTTTGTATTCACTGTATTTTTTTGCATTGAAATCTAAACTTTATTATTGAGTCTTTCATATTTTAGTGCTGCTCTTTGATTTTTGTCTCCGACGTATAAAAGAATAAATGTATCTGCATCCAGACTTAGCGTATTTGCTCACCTCTAGGCACTGAAATGCATTTGAGATTCTTTAAATACTGACTACAAGAGTTTAGAAATAAATTAAAAGTTACTACAAGCAGTAAACTGTATCAATACCTATTTCTTTAGAACATAATACTTATATACTCATAATATTCTTTTTGTGCCCATAATTTTCTTAATGTAAACCTAGAGTGTTAATTTATACGTTTATGTAAAAATACACACAACACACCTATTGAGTAACTGCTATAAAACAATCGTGTTTGTATTTGTAAAGTCTAGTAACATCCTCTGTCGATAATTCAAAAGTCTTTTGGGTGGGCATTTCTCATTTTAAGTACTCTGTGTAAAAGTTGTTTGTCCAAAGTTGGTCAAATTTGTGTTTCTTTAAGTCAACTTGTCTACAAATACACTCAAGAAAATAATTAATTATACCACTAATAGTAATACTCAATTTTTTATGTGCATCCACAGGTCTCCACTATCATGTCAGGGACATCTGTTTTGACAATGCTGTGCTGAGAGTTGAAGTAAACCATGGAGAGTGGTCGACGCTCTGTGGGAACGCAGCATGAGGCTGTAGCTGTGTTAATACCATTGACTTTGAGTTGGCTGAAGACAGTGGCATGGAATGAGGATGCTATACCTGGGGAACCAGACAGATGTTGGGGGCAATGTCCCATGCAGTAGTTCATATGGTAGCCTTCAGGCGCAATGATCCACTCATCCCACTGGATGTCTTTAAACTTGATGTAGAAGTCTCTCTTGCAGCAGACTGTTACATCGTCACCGCAACGCACTGAGCGCTTCCTGAGCAAATGCTTGGAGTGGTCATCACGGAGACGCACCTGAGCCACCAGGAAGGGCTGGTAGGGGGTTTCAGCAGAGCCATCTAGGGAGCAAAGGTTCTGTCCGTCTTCTTCGCAAGTGACCTCCAGCTGCAGCCGATGTTGGCCCCCGTCCAAGAAGGTTTGCAGGGTGTGGGTGACAGAGAAAGTGTGCCAGTTACTCTCCTTGACGTGCAACATCTTTTCCATCACCAAGGTCCGATTAGAGCCTGAGATGTCACCATCTACGGAGAGGAAAACCTGGGCAAGGAGACGAGAGTTCCGTTGTGGGTCCTCAGAGGCACGGGCATAGATCCACAAAGAGGACTGGAGGACCTGGATACTTTGGCCACGTTCCTGCAGAAACTGAAAGGTAAGGCTAAGGCTTGCCTTGTCACTGCTCTTTGCATCATCTATGAAACAATGACAATTAAGAAAAACACATAATGTTAATATTTGGAAAAACTTCATAGCTC